TCCTTTCCAATTGACGATAAAAACCGAAAATATTGCTGATTTCGTGGCATTGTCCTGAAATAAACTCGACTGAGCCACACTAGGGTCCCACTGAGTCACGAGCCACAAGTCTGCTCCCACTGTCACGTCACGAGGCCGATTCCTCCAAATGCCGTCTTTTTGCTCAACGTCTGACGTAACAAACGCCTCCTGCAAACGGAAAAAAATTCGTCACTTCAATAGAACAAGAAATTATTTCAAATGCTGCGTTAAATCTATTAAATAAAAGGATTGAATCTTTAAACAGTGGCATCATTAGTTTCAATCATCCGGCATCATTGACACTTCATTCTCGTCGAGTTCAAATTATATTCAGACAAAAGTTATCAGGTGGAATCGAGTTACAGGTCTCTCTACAACGAAACTCAAGGGACCATAAAAAATTCGTTTTAGAGAAAATTTCGTAGTAGAAAACCCCTATTTGCCTATAATATGGGGAGTTAACCCCGTGCGACCACAAAAAAATTCGTTGTACTGTACTGCATAGATAAAATCGTTGTAGACAAGATCCTTATAGAGAGAGTCCACCGGAAGTTCGGTGAACTGAAGCTCAGTCAGATTCGTTTAAGGAAAGTTAAAATTGTTTTTAGGCGACACACATCTGAAATTTCAGAAAGCATCGTCTAGGATTTCGTCAATAAACAGAACAGAAAAAAAAGTGGATGTAATGAGCAGATCGGGAATTTTTGATTGCATTTAGAATTCGGCTAGCAAAGAATTGATAAAAATTATACATTTTCAGCTCTATTCAAAAATTAGCTTTTCTGATGAGACCTCGTGATACTTGCTCATTTAGTGTCTTATTTCCCCAAGACCATTTCCTTCATGTTTTAACAATGAAAGCTTACCCACGTTCTTACCCATATTCACGACATTTCCAACATTGTCGCATCAAATCGGGGTTCTTAAAGGAAATTTGGATGCTTTTGAAAATCTTCTTCGCATTTTGGCATAGCATTCACGCTCCCAAAATGAGCTGTACATCTTTCATGAGAATAAATGGTCTGGAAGTGAACATGTTAGCAAGAACCAAATTCTTGAAGGAGCAGACAATACAGCATGAATTAAAAAATTGTGTTCCACTTCCCTCAATCGTTCGAAGAAGCTCGAGAGCACTCAAGTCCAAGAATGAAGTTTTGTACGGTACTCTAAAAATCCGCGACACGAAAGCGATGAAAATTATACGTGAAATGCCTTTAATACTGTACTTACCACTATAAAATTTTCGAATGAACACATTTGATGCCTTGTTCTGAAGTCCGCAAACGTTCGGTCCGTGAATGTAAAATCTTCGACCACGGTTGCCAAGCTCGCTAATGCCTCAATTTCCTTTGACTCTTCGCCTCCAACATTCATTCGTAATAAATATCCCTGTCGGGGACAGAACAACCAGAAACCGTTCGATTCATGATTTTCCTTTAAATAGCTCACGAGAAGAAACTCCCGTCAGGAAAACTCACCATCCAAAAATCTTTAAAATAATAATTATGCACACTCAATAGCTTGTCAAACGATGTTCCCAGAGCACCACAAGAAAGCCTGGCAAGAATTTTCCACAGCAACAGATTCGAATTCTTTGATTCGTCGATATTAGCGTCATACACGTTCTCCCAATACGTCAGCATATTTGTTTCTGTCAAAAAATAATTTAAATGCATGATTAATGAAATTTAATCATCACGACGTTCCGAAAGAATACTGGCTTCGTGGAGATCATAATAACGTGACCGCATTAGAAACCTAATCAGACGGGAATTGCAGCTGGAAGATCGAGAAAAAATAAATATGACAATTAATGTAAAATACTTAAACAGGGTGAACGAATACTGTATACAAACTCACCGTCAGAAGATGCATCCAACGAATTCTCCAGAATATCTCTCTCCACCATGTTAATGATCATCAGGTCGACCGTAGGATCAAACTTTCGTCCGAAGAAGACGTTTTTCGCAGAAAAATAGGAAATCCTTTCAAAATCTCTCTGCCTGTAAATGCTTGGTGAGCATCCACACCAGTCCACTATTTTCTTTGATTTACAGCCACAGCTCTTTCTCCTTTGCCAATTGATGGCACGGAGGTGCGCATTCACTCTGGTTGCGCATAATGCGGAATTCGCCAACAACGTGTGCAGAAAAACTTCCACCGGCAAGAGTTTGTAGGCGAAGAACTGCCTAAAAAATGCAATTTTTAAAGGTCGTTGAGCTGATATCGTGAGGAAGAATATTTTCAGGTTTAGTACCGTATATCTTGAGGTTAGATTAAAAAAGGCAACTAAAACCCATCAACTGATAAAATAGAATCTCGTTAAAACAAAGCGTTTGAAACCTTGAAAAAGCTTCGGTCGAAACAAAAGTTCGTTAAAACGAAATTGTGGTCATTGGAAAGGGACCAAAAATAATAAATTAATTCTTCATGACGAGATTCGTGGTAACGAGATTCTACTGTATAATAAACAAGTGTCCTGGATAATGGACGCCCATTACAATGGATTTTTCATACCACAAAGCTTTGTTTTGGCTAGTGGATCAAATTCCAAATAATGAACTGCATAAAAAATTGAACGTCATGAAAAATCAATGCTGTCGAGGAAAAAATCTAGCTGCCATTTTTTTTTTATACTGCAAAACCTTTTACTTTTCTGATAGAGAAGGCAGGGCATTATTTTCCTCATTTCTGAGAAATTTTGTTGCTATTTTATGGACAACATATATTACAGTAAAATAATTCGAGCAAGAATTCCGAAGGAAATTCCCACGGGAATTATAATTAATTAGCTACAATCGGAAATCACAGTATAGTGAACTTCTGCTGTTCCTTTTCCAATTTGACACGTGCTCTTCCTTTTTTCTCTTCGAAATCTAAGCGTTGTGCGAGTCTCTAAAAATGTTCCGAACCCACGATAGTCTCCACTGAGATATCTTCGGGTGAAGACATCCACCCGTGTTTTCGCATAAATTTTTTTCTGACCACGACGAAAAGTCAGAAAAGTATCGAACTAGTTGTTTCAACATTCCCAAATCAGCGGTGATCGTGGTCATATTTATCATACCTCAGTCCAGTGAAAAGTTCCTCTTCTCCCAAAACACGACCCTCAGAGGCGACATACTTGACGAATGGAGAGCTCAAGACGAACCAGTCAGAACCGCCGTCGTAAGTGATGCCCGCAATGTACCGATCCTTGCCAATATTCCACATTCGACGCTCACACTCAAGAAAAACGTAACTGAGGCCTTGTTTATTAAAAAATTCATGAGGCTGAGAACCGTGTGAGCGGAGAAAATTTTTTCCTCTGTTGACGGATAAGTAATCCTCCAAATCCGACAGCTTCCTGGAAAAAATGAAGTTTCAGACAAATCATCTAACGATAAGTCATAATGAGTAAACAAAATATCAAGCATAAAAACAAACAAAAATGAGGAACTTCGGCTTCAAATTTGTTTCTCGTAGGAACTAAATAGTGTCCCGAATCCTGAATTTTTTTATTCTCACACAACTCGTTGATAACGCGACAAAAGTGCATTACAGTACTGTGCTTTCGTAATTTTTGTGGTTTCCATCACAGCCATTCTGTTCCACGATACAGGCGCCGCTAAAATTTGATAGAATTTTTTCGCTTAGATTAGGTCAGGTTAGACAAGCTGGGTGCAGGTTGAGTCATTTCAAAAATTACGTTACACTTGGTCAAGGGAAATTAATTAATATTATGAAGAAGGCCAACTAGAAATCATACCTGATCGGAAAATCGGATTCACTCAAGTTCAATACGAAATCAAACTCCGGGAACACTTCACAGATCACTTGGAACCCTTCGAGCACCACAGTTAGCAAAGAAGCCCCTCCCCAGATGGAGGATCTTCGTCTTCCCTCCGGAACCACGAAGATATTCCGAGTTCCATTGAGAACTTTCAAGGCATTGAACATAAGCTCTGCTCTCTGAAAAAAAAAGTCCGAGTAAAGGAGGGCGAAAGGAGAACTTCCACGGAATGAAAGACGTCCTACCTCATCAATATGCAAATAATAAAAATGGCGCGGAGAGTAAATATTCTTGAGCAATCGAAATGCTTGTCGGTAGTTCCTTCCGTTGAAAAGCAACATGAAAGCAACCCGCGTCGAAGATTCTTCGTTCCGAGAGTCAAAAATGTCATCAGAGAACGGAATCCCATTGGTTCCGGTTTCGTAAACCGCAATCGTGTAGAAGCCACCACACGTTGAAGTTGGGTCTCCACTGCACGTCATGTCACATCGGCTGGATTCCAGTGGCACAGGATTATTAGACAGATGTGTCCCACACCAACATTCCGTCCTACGAATTCCGACAGGCTTCTATCAGTCGTTTTCACACTCGGATTCCGTTAACCACTTCCCAATATTTCTTCTTATTTTGGCTTTTGCGTGGTAAACGGACAAAAGTAACATCGATTGAATTTTTCTCAGCTAAAAATATCATCAGCAGTTCGTAAAATAAAACACTGGTGTTGTCCTATTCTCCAGTAGGTATTTTAGCGTCTACGAGAATTAAACCGGACGAAGTCAGAAGTGTAACAATATTTTGTCCAAGACAAGAAGACATTTTTTCCAAAATCCAAGTGCTTTCCACCCAAATGCCTCAAAAATGTCTTGATTTTCATGATCAACACAGGTGTCCCCCACATCCTTTCACACGTAGTTACGTCTAACCCAAGCCAAGTCCCCCAGCGTTTTTTTCTTCTTCGTTTTCGGTTAGGTCAGAATACGCTCCATTGGAGTAGGAAGTCGAGTTCGTTTCTTCGTTCGGTCGGACTATTTCAGGTTGGGATATTTATTTAAGCGACACCTGCCTGACATTTGAAAAAGCAACGTTGGCATAAAAGTGTGATGAACATACAGTACTGTACATTTGACCTTTCGATTCTCCATTCCATAATCCCCAATAAATTATTTAATTGAAACGTGACTTATCTTATAAAAGTTTCGAAACAATCGTGATAAATATAATCGACTTTAAGCCAAATCAGTATTCCACATTAAATCAAATGAACTTACACGAGATACCATTTATTCACTGTTGAAGATAAAAATAAAACGCTAGCGTATCGCCTCTAAGCCAGACTATCGATGAAATCCAGGTCTTTCCGTTGTTTTCCTAGAAATTCGCAAGCATCAATCTGATTTATATCTCAAGAAATACCTGCTCAGTACTAACGGCAGCGAGGTAACCTTTGCAGGAAATTTTTGTCATCTATGTGAAGAAACAAGATAACCCTGTTCACTCGGGTACCACGGAACACTTTTTCTACGCAAAATTGATGCAGAAAAGTGGGTGCAAGCGGTATGCGGGTAAAGGTGGTGGGAGTTAAGTGAATCTTCATAAGTTCAAATAATGAGAATAGATTTCTGCTTGGCGCAAATCCAGTTGAAATGTTCTGCGTTATTACTGCATACTTATGAAAGTGATTAATTTTTACACAAATGTTCGTCTTCAATTTTTCAACCATGTAAAACTGGGTGCGAGTCTAATGCGGGTATAATTTTTCAGCGAATTTCATGCCAAATAACCGAGGTGCATGGCTCACTCGAGGGCGCGTGGTTAATACGGTACTTTCCCAGGCATACACTTCAGCGATTTGCAATAAATAAATGATAGTTATTGTACTGTACTTGGCTTGGCCGTAATAGCAATGAGAATAAAAATAATTACCCGTACTGTACGCCAGCATACACGTAGCCGCCGAGTCTACAGTAACTGACGCAGTTCTTCGGAGTATTTTCAGTTTTCAGCACAACATGAGTGTCATTCAAGAACCTATTTCTGCCATCCTGGAAACACCCCAGGAACCTTCCGATTTTACGTCCTGCGCACAATCAAAGCGGAATTTAAAATAACGTGATCAACACCGAACTCTCATTTCTAAACCAACCATGACTAGGGCAAAAGGAGGGAAGAAAATTGGCGTGCAGATTTTCATCAACAGCTTTCCGAGACGATCGCAGTATTTCCGTTTTACAGGCCTTGCTGGATGCTCGCTGGACCGCACTGACGGCATCACGTCCAACCAGGCCCAAGTCCACATTTTCCAATTCCAGCCGAACGAGGATTTCTTCCGTCAAATTATAGTAAATTGGCTCATTGATGAAAGGCACCGCGAAGGAAGAAACCTGGACGCAAAAAAAAATCAATATCAAATCAGAATCGGCGAGCACAATCGAAAAAATTCACAGCATATACGAGGGTTGTCCCGAATCAGCGCGATCTTGGTTATTTCTAGAGTAATGGATGTNATAAGAAAAAATTATTATATAGTCAAGAATGGTGTGAGGTTCTGTGATTTTTTTCGGATTTTTAATTTAAAAAATTTCAATTTACTGTATTATAATTGAAAACTTTCCAGTTACTGCAGGAGTTATCTTCCCTTGTCAGAGGGTGCTAGAACTTTTCAGGTTTACACCCATCATTATGCAGTGAATTGTAAAATGCTGTAAAAAAATGTGAAAAAAATACCACGACCTTGAATCATCGTGGACTATCATAATTTTTTTTTCTCGATGATAATACCTATTGTCCTATTCCATGAATAAACCAAGTCGCGTGGGACAATCCTCATATGTAGGAGCACAGTAAACGATTACCGTGTATTACGACGTGGAAAAGGAATAATGGTATGAACAAAGAGAACGGTAATCACCTCAATTTCGGATTCACTTGGAAAAAAATAAAGATGAACAGTGAAAGCAACAATTCCAACAGCAGCTGCTGTTACCGCAACAGCGTTGTTCCCCATCCGAGCCAAAAATGCTCGCTGCTCACGGGCATTATCACGATCGCATAACAAACACTTCGGCCGAAGTACGAAAAGCCGCCGAATTCCCTATTGACCGAAACCCGCCAACATTCCAACCCTCCACATCCGCATTCTTTTTCACATATCGTAGGGAAGAACCTGCAAATACACTTGATTCTTCATGCACAGAAAATTCCATAATCCCATGACCATTCAAGGGAGAAAAGGCATAAGGTCATGTTTTGACTCAATAAATAACGTAATTATTTTTTTAAACGCAAGAGCAGTGAGACAAAGGCTGGTAAGACGTAAGTTTGAAAATCTACTACACAAGGGAAAAAAAAGCTGAAAACCAGACCTGCAGCTTGTCGATTTCATGCAAAATGTATTTGCTTCCCAGAAATCAAATAATCAACTGAAGCCTAAAATTTCCGCGCTTCCCTCAAGATAAGTTCAAAAAAGGCAAAAATTTTCGAGGAACTGCGAATGCGTGTGGCTACGAACAGGGACCTTCCAATTTTTTTTTTTTACAACGACGGAATACAAAACAAAATATTTATCCTGATCACGATTGCATCACCCGGAGTGTTCCTTCAGAATGCGACTGAATTCATTATGAGACTGTTCCAAGTCGAAAAGAAGCTGACGAGCCTCGTCTTCGGTCAATTCGGCAGATGCAGGCATTTCTTCCATTTTCCGAAGCCAGGTCGCAATTTTCTCTCGGCCACTGTACGAATTCGGCAGCAAAGAAAGTCTGGACATCGTTTCCAAGAGTTCACGCACTTCCCCTTGAAGTTCGTCGTTGGCGTAAAACTTCAGCCTCAACTTATCCATAACAGTGATGAACAACTAAAACGAAAAACAACGGTTTTCATATTGTAGTACAGTATTGTTAACGAGGACGGCGGTTTTTTTTTTCGACGTAAAAGTAACAGATAAAAATACAAAACGGGCACAAGGGCGTCTTACAAGAAGGAACGCATCGTAAAATACTCACCGAAACGATCTCAGCAATTGCATTCATTGCTTTCCGATTTCCCTTATCATCCAAGATGGTGATTGGACGTCCATCTTTGATCCGCTCTAAAGCAGACTTCGCATCTAGCTTGAATCTTTCCATGAAAGATTCAATGTTTTGAAACGAATCCGATTGCACGTCAGAGTCATCTTGCACTAGTTTGAAAGCCAGTTTAATTTGAGTCAGCAGTTTGGAGCAATTGGAAGTGTATTCTTCGGGAGTAACGCAGTCCCGAACATAAGCTTGCTCCAAGCACTGCAGCGTATTGATAGCTGCGTACAAATCTGCTTGTTTGTCGTACCTTGAAAAAATATGAACATATTTGAAATTTTCTTTATACTAGCATCTGATATGCGTTCGAGTCGGTTGAAACTTATCAAAACGAAGGCAGTCTCGGATCTTTAGAAATGCTGGAATGTGTCAGGTAGCAAGTAAATTTCAACACAAAAAGCCTTCACGATTCCAGAATACATTCAAAAAATAATTTACCTTTGTTCGCCAACTATTTCAAATGGAAATCAACGAACAAAAGTTAACATCAATTTTAGTAAAATGAGTTCCGCGACCGATTCCGATATCATCTTAAAACTCGAAGAAGGAACGGAACAAAACACGAACATTACACTTACGTCAAATTCAACGATGTTTGTGCATGCACGAACAAATTACTGCAATAAACATTTAAAGTGAACACCAAAAGTGCAGCTCAAATTACCACGATTGTCTACTATTCAATCGTTGAAACTAGAATATGCGGAGAATGACACAATGTAACTCTTACAGTACTTATCTCATGATGAAAATTCGCAGAAATCTCTCGCACAAAATAAACAAATTGACTTAAAAGAGTTTCTTACTTATAGCTCGCTCTAAAAATGAAATCTGAAAATGCATATTATACTTGGAATACCAGGAATTTGAAAATAATTCAACTTACTTTTCTCGTTCCTTTGCATTCCGCGACAACCTCACTTCTTCCTGTAACTCGGGTCTCTCCGGACCTAAAACAGATAAGTTTATGCGACTTGCACACGAGGTTCACTAAATCTTTTAAACTCACTTGGGGAGTACCAGGCCTGTGCAGCCATGGTTGCACGGAACCGACGATTTTTTAAAAATTTTCACTTACACTACTCTTCGCAAACTCTGTACCCTGTTAAGGAATCATAAAAATACTGCATATTCAAAATTAGCGCGGCAACAGTTCGAAGATGACTGAAGTGAACTGGAAACATTCAGAAAAAAAATGATCATGATTATCAAAATATTCAAGCATGGCAAGACTGAACATCAGATTAGTTGAAATCGAAATGCCATTCCAAAAATGTCACAAAGCACACATGAGATCTTCGTGAATTTTCACTTAGCTTAAAGATCCACTAGAGTTCTATTACCTGGCATTCGAGTACCGTTATCATTTTTTTACGATCATACCCAGATCGAGATTGCTTTTGCTTTCATTAGCGCAACTTCGAAAACATGGTGCTGTTCTGGATGCGAGCTCCATTCATTATCCAATAAAAACGATTATTTTTTCGGAAGATCGTGTCGCACATGAAAAAAAGGGAAGTACAGGTATGAGGCAAGCCAGAACTTGTATGCACACGCTGGAAACCTATATGCAGAAGTTAGTTGTGAAGTCATCTAATCATGTAACAACACTTCCTAGGTCTTCTGGGTTCTATTTGAAAAAAAAAAAAAGGCAACCTTGCTTCTAAACAACAGATAACAGTAACTTTTCCTGCTGCACTTTTCAAATTATGCCACGAAATAAAATGCCTTCAAACGATACAATTTTAACGACCGTTGACGTGGAAGGAAATTCTCGACTGCATTTTTCTGTTATCAATTTTTCACACACGCGTAGTCTTAATCGTCTGTTGTTCAAATGTTAAAAACGGTGTGAATTGGCGCATATCTCCTTCTTTTGGGGGAAATCTTTCCGTGAAGATATCTTTCAAACTTAGCTTTTGAAGAACCCAACCTCGTAAAAATCTTCTCACTGACTCCCATCTACACAAAACATGGTCTTCCAGTTAAGTGGATTGATATTTCAACTAGATAACTTCCCAAAACTCTCGTTGTATGATTAAAACTTTAAATGACAGATTCCAGACCACAAATCAATAATCGATCAGGTAGATCACGATCTCCCGGTAGATCGCACACACCAGAACAGCACCAAAACGACTGCCCTGAGCGTTCACAAACGTATCGGACAAGTTCAGAAGCGAGCTTCCTCTTCACTTATTTCACACATTTCCGACCTTCTAAAGCGGTCGTAATATTAACAGGAAGAAATAACAGCTGTAAAACTTACAAAAAATTTGATCACAGGACGACAAAAATCGTCTACGGAAGCCTAAAATCAACATATCACTTATAAATCATCGCCCGCTCGGAAAAGAGTTTTTGGCATAGCTCCCGGTTTAACACTAATCATCTCTCTCTGGTGCCGGTAAGTCAAAGGTGTCCCAAGTCGTTTGTCAGTTCTTCTGTAAAACTCGTTGAAATCGAGCCTGGTGCTTAACGGCAACAAAGAGCCAACATCGTGTGAAAGCTCGAGCAAGAAATCACACATTTGCGCCGTGAATTCGATTCGAAGCGTCTTGACCTTGTGTCTCGTCGGTTCAACGAAAACTGAACCGAACCCGAGCCGATGTCGTGTTTCAGACTCCGAAAGTCGCAGCGGTGAAGGGATTTTTGGCGGAGGATTTAATGTTCTTCCTTTCAGCGGTCGCCCAACAACTTTCCCGGCGAAATTCTTCGGCGGCACCTTTGGCTTAATTCCCGAGACCAGGTTAACTCGCCGAGTGTATTCGCCAACTATGGCGTCGAAAAACTGACGCACAATCGGATCCAGTTTCAGCACTAGATTCTGAAGTTTCCGCACCCTCGGGAAAACTCCTGTATTCGTGTCTTTCAGGAAATTTCGCGACAACACTTCGCACAAGAATCTTTCGTGAATATTCGCCACAGCATCAAGCGAGTCGGCCGTTTTTATTTTCTCCATCATTTGCCTCCATTCGCATTCGATTACTTCAAAAGAAAGAAAGAAGTGGAGCTCTTTCGACATGTGCAACATGGCAGCAATCAGCGACATGATTTCTCGAGCAGCTGTCATCATTTCTGAAATTTAAAAAAAGGGAAACGTCACAAAACTTCAAACAAGAAACTCTTTTCATCCTATCCGACGTCACGCATAGCTATAGTGAAACACGAAAAACAGAAGAGAGATGATCCAAAAAATTAAGAAACAACAGGAGCAAAATAAGCAAGTATTAAAAAAACAAGAGCAAGGAGAGTTTTTTTAGTGAAGGAAAGATTACCGGAAGAGTGTTCACAAAAGAGAGTATCAAAAGAGCGAATACTGTACACGCAAGAACATAACTTAAACCTCATCCAACACACTTAACTTAACCTAGCTAGAAAAAAAAACACTTCATGACTTGCTATTCTAATACTTTTTTGCGCACTCCAATTTTTAATAAATGTCTCCATGACACTTTTTCTGATGATGCGCACCAATTCCAAACTCTCACCTGGAATAACGACGCAATACTTCCAAACATTTTTTAGCTCCATCCAGAGCTTCCCAGCAATATAACTGGTCCTCTGGATTCTCCAAAGACAACGGAACAACTGCGAATACCGAGTGACATGGCCCGGAGTAATAACAGCACCCAGTGGACCTTCGATACGGTAATTCAAAACGAAAGTGTCCCATCCAGTTTCGTGCACACTGCCTTCAAATGTTTTCACGTCGAGGCGATCCACACCCAATTTCCCTTGTGTGCCAAACAACTCTCGGATGACGAACTTCAAAGGGCCGCGAAGCAGGTTCCCATTGTTGATTTCAACAGCTGGTTTATCCAGAATGTTCCGAAGCTGCAGGCGAACAAGAAAAATACCCTTCTAAAAACACTTCTGAAAAGCGGTCGCTATTACAAAACAAAACGCAAAATCCGGTTTCAATAAAATTAAAATGTGCAATTTATAAGCTTAATTTTTTCATACTCAAGGGAATCGGCAATCCTTCGCCAGATATCGCTAGATTTCGCGGCACAAAAGACCGGACGGACACAAATGCAAGGAAGCATACTTCCCAGTACACTGTACCTTTACTGCATAATGCTCGGAGATATGCGCTAAAATAATGGAGGGGGGGGGCGGAAATCGGAAGTTTTACTCACGGCACTCATCAAAGATTTCGCGAAGTCTCCATGTCCAAGAAGCAGGAACTGGCGCAGAACCGTGAGTTCATTGAGAAGACCATATTCCTTCAGTACAAGATCATGATAGACGTAAGAAGACGTCAGAGTGAACAGGTTGTGAATGATGGTTCCAAGGTAGTCCCCTTCTTTTTGGTAAAGGTTACCCTGGACGTCACGCACGACTGTTGATTCCCCCATGCCTTCCAATAGCAGAGATTCAGCTGCAGGAAAAAGTCCTCAAGTTTCAAAAGTTTTAGAAGCTATGCTACTGCACAGAACAAAGAACACTCGTGCAGTAAAGTAGGAACAACCATCAAAATCAAATCAAATTTGAAATTAATGTTTCAGCAAGCGAGAAATCATGTATAACTAGCTCTTTTTTTTTACAGCTATTCATTTTCCTCTGTATTTTCTCGCCAACTCGTCGAGCCACATTGAATGGAGGAGAGGTAAGATTAATTATATCAATATGAATTGTTTTCGCGGAAGACGATGATAGTTGACATTTTCAATGCAGGAAATGTACGTCAGCTTAAATCGTCGATGTTTCAAGACTGGGAAGGTTCTTTCAGAACGCCTTGCTGCAGATAGATGAAACACTAAACCGAGACCCCCGTGCATTGAAGAGCACGGTATCCCTTTTAAAAACTAGCATTTGACAAAAGCCGTCGCAAAATAACGTTGGCTTAGTTCGGACCTGGGTTAGGTCGCAACGCAGCGAAAGAAATACAAATGGGAGTACCTGTTCAATATTTTGTCTTACTTCAAAGTTCAAACACTCTAACTGCTAATGGCTACATACATTTCCAGACACCGTTAAGAAACTACGGTATACTGAAAAAAGTAAGTACATAGGTATATAAATAATCTCACGTCCACGAAATTTGATTGGTCATACGCATACTGTTTGATCGAGTACTGCACTTGAATGAGTTGTGGCTCGTCTCTCATGTTTATTAAGAGACTGTGTCTGGATTCTTTCTTCACATTCCGCATACGAAAATCGATTAGTTTACATTTACAGTATAGAATTGTAGAAACGTGTTTAAATCAGAATCCATCAATATTTTTCATCGTTTTAGATTTAATACTGTACATCGTAATTACTCACATAATCCTCTTCTCGCTTTAGAAGTGTTTAATGCAGTCTTGAATTGCATTTATTGCATTACTGAAAACCAGAGTAATACTTTTGTACAGAGTTTCGAAGTGTCAGATGAGGTTCTGATTACAAGCGACATAATATAAGAAGCTTTAACTAAATAGAATTAACAAATTTACGCACGTTTGACTTCGCTTTTTAGTTGATCCAGGAGATTGATGAGTCCAGGTATGCCTCCATCATGTCTGCAAATTTCAACAGTGAAAATAACGTTCTTCCCAACTGCCAGGATTTCCTCTGCGATAGATTTATCCAGAAAAACGGGAACTTGAGGATTCCTAATGAAGTACTTCTTGTGCCACCATTTTCCCAAGTCTACGTAGTCGACACCGGAGTCTTCACCGATAAAAAATTCCTCATAATTGTCGGATATTTTTCCTTCACTGAGCCATTTGTAAATCATTTCGTGAATCGGCACGCAAACACTGGTGAGCATGCCGTAGAAAAGACGCCTCACCGGCTCATCGCCAGTCTGCATGCATTCGTACATTTTGCTCAGCAAAATGCCGCCTTTAACGGGGCCACAGTAGGATAGCATTTCCCATATCGCTCGCAGTTTATCACCGACCGGTTCTAAGCAATACGTCAAACGAATCAGCTTCTTCTCATCAGAATCATTGGCGGCCAACGGGGCATTTAAGATGCGAAGGGAATTATAGTATTGCTGGAGTTGGCGGAAGCAAACCGTTGCAAGAGCTTGCCGCGTTTTCGATTCACTTCCTTCCATCGTGCTTTTCACTAGTTCTTGAATTGAGCGGTGGTGAGATGCGACTTTTGCCAAATCATTCAGGACGGAAGCTTCGAAAGGTTCTACATCCAAATCTGCGTTGAAAATCAGATCACTGGACTTGAACTGGAACTTGAACTGAGAGCAATCGAAGCCAGCACAAAACTGAAGAATCGCCTGATTCAGGTTCTTCGAATCTCGCGTTCTTTCCTGGTTTTGCGGATGGATCAAATTTGGATTTGACTCTGAAGACTTTTCCGCCCACGCTCCAGCTGGATAACGGTTGCTGTAGTGACCATTCTCACTAATAGCGCTCACTGGGAAGGTTTTCGACTACAGTACAGAGAAATGCGAACTGAAGTTACCGCAATTTCGTGAATCCCACAAATCGAAGACCAATACTTACCCGCGACATATGAGTGATGGGAGTCGAAGCATGTTTTCCATCGTATTTCTCCGATACATCGCCGAAAGTATGTTGTTTCTTCAGCATCGAAGATCTGAGAACTTCCGCTTCATTGGCTTCACTCTCGATTTTCAGCAAGTACGATAAAACTTTGCAGCCTTTTTCAAGATTCCCACGTTCCGCCTGCATTTAATGATACGAAAGAGCGCATGAATGCTCGTAAATTTAATAAGGAGAAAATAGAAGTCGTTCAGTTCTTCAGAGGTATTGGAAATTTATCGACAGCGCTTCTTAGATCACCCTCTCGCTGAACGGTTAAAATTACCTTCAGGACGCTCCAAAGATGGAAGCATTTGGAATAAACAGGGCCATTCGAACTTTCTCCTACAGCAGTAACGAGATCATCAAGCAGACGGAAATATGTATCTTCCCAGGATGTTGTGCAATCCAGGTGAAACTGGCTTGAACATAGAGCTGATATCGCACCAGATATTCTTCGCTCTATTCCCGGCACTGAAAACAAATCATCATCTCAATTTTGAAAAATTTTCAGAAATATGACAAACCTGGCTTGAAAACTGCACGACAAATTCCATCAATTGCTTGTATAACTTCTGGAGAAACTGAACCAGACATCATCGCCAACACTGCAGTTAATGAAAGCCACTTGCAGCGTTATAAACAGAGGTGCTGTCAAGAAGTACCTCTCGAGTTCCTGCGATCAAGAAGTTGAAGAATCCGTACGGTTAAAACTTAGAAGCACTACAGCCCTAATTTGTCATTGTTAGCCTCTGCAACGAAAGCACGTTTGATATTAATTCATATTCACAGATGAAATATTCCTCGGAAAAAAAATCAAGCCACGATGCACAATAACCAAGTCGGCATGCTCCCAATAAAACACCGCATGACTCTGCCCAGAACTCATATCTCAATTCGAACCACACGCGCGATCACCTGATGCATGAATCCAGTAAAATCATGTGAATCGCTGAATTCAAATTCCACTTTTCACCGAATGGAATGAACATCAGTCTAGCCGGGTTTCAGCATACAGCACGCGGAAGCCCTTACTGTACAATACAAGAATACTGCGAACATTCGGAAAGAAAATGTTCGTAAGTCTCCGAGACGCTCGAAAAAAATTCAACATCTCCTCTGAAGAGAGCGCGGAATGATTGAAAATGATGAACAGGGGTACTCCAATTTAGTATGGGTGGACACCTTGGACTGTGGGTGAGTAATCCGAAAAAAATACAGTACTGTACAGTACACCTGTACTTTATTGTAGGTGTTTTAGGTTTAGCAGCTGAAATAATTTTAAATTGTATTGCACTGAGCTTCTGTATTTGAACATACAATAGTGGGATTTATCCAGATCGAATTCGCTTCATTGGGTAAAAAAAAAGTCTTCAGAAAGAACCAAGACAACTTTAGCGCCACTCATCAATATGTTGAGTGATGGATTATCAATTATGGTATTACTGTACTGATGTATAGGGCATTTCTCCCGTCTGGTTCATTCTCCAAAAACTGCTTATGTAATAAAAAGGAAAGAACAAGTTCTTCAATTTAGGATTGTGCATTCAGGCTCTTAATATATCGGAATTTGCATATGAAAAATTGGTGAAATAGAATACTCTTACCATTTTTTTATTACAGTTCAAATGAACGGCTTTCGAATTGATGTATCGCCGACCCATGTCTTATTGCACCCTGGGGGGGGGGGGGGGGG